AGAGGTTCTTAGATAACTTCTACTACTCTACTAAGAATAGTAGAAGCTTTAACTTACTAGAAATATTCTTAAGCTCTAGCTATTAAATAAAGTAGGCGTATTTTTAAGGTAATAGAATCTTTATAAGTCTATTAGCTAGTATTTAATTTATAGAAATTTATTTAACGTTAATTTATTAGTTTTTAACTTTCTAGCAAAGCTATATTTAGTATACGTTAACGTGTTTAAGCTTTATCTAAAGCTTCTCTATAGCCTTAGTTATTATACCTATAGTCTACTAATTATTATACTAAAGCTTTAGTTTAATATTAAGGTTTAGCTTTAGGTAGTAGAAAAGTAGGTTCTACTACTTTATTTCTAAAGCTATCTTTAAAGCGCTAGAAGCTCTACCTTAGTTATTAATTTAGTTACTATTTATTATTTTATAGCTTTCTAATTTATAAGTAATTTATATAGCTTAAAGATATAGCCTTTAGAGCTTACTTTAGTATCTAGGTTATTACTAAATAAAGTATTTAAGGCTCTATAGAAAATAGACTCTTTAAAATCTACTTTCTAGAAGTATTTCTTCTTTATAGCGTATTATAACGCTTTAAGCATAAGAGTTTTTATCTCTATAAGATATTACTATATGTATATAGTAGTATAGAGATATTATTAATCTAATACTAAGTAAGCTCTTAATATATCTAGATGTATAAAGTAGAAAATATATACTAGTAAGCTAACTAGCTACTAGAAAAGCCTTTTTTACTCTCTATTAGGTATCTTTATAAATTTCGTAAAGTTATTCTCTCTTATAGAGAATTATAGATACTTAGTACCTAGTTTTAGAAGTAGGTTAAACTTATTAGTAACCTTATTAATAAAGAAATTCTAGATTAGCTAGATTAATACTACTTCTATATCTCTTATAACTTATATACCTAGAAACTAATTAAGTTAACCTATCTTTCTAATCTTATACTTTTTAAGTAGATAGTATTTAAACTCTACGTAAACGTCTATATTATCTAGGTAGATAAGTATAATAATAATATTAATAAAAAAGAAAACTATAAGCTTATTACTAGCCTATAGACATAGTATAATACTTATTTTAATAAGTTCTAACTTCTTAAAAGTCTCTATAAGGTTCTTATACTATAGTAGAGGTACTTTCTTTAGCCTATATAGAGCTTAATATAGCTCTAAAAGCTTACTAAACTAACTAGTAAAACCTTCTAGAATATAGTAGTAGAGCTTCTATAGAAGCTTTATATTTAGAAAGATATTTATAGCGTTATACTAATATATTAGTAATCTAAAAGTAGTTACTATAGCTACTAGAGCTTAAAAGATTCTTACTACTAAGGTAGTAGTATAGGTATTACTCTATTATATTTAGAGGTCTTTTTAAACTACTAGATAAGCTTTATACTTAAGTAGATATCTATCTTTATTAAATTTATATAATAATATCTATATAAGTAGAAGGTATTCTACTATAGTTAACGCTAGCGTTACTAACGTCTTCTTAAAGTACTCTTTCTTAAAGTAGTTACTAAACTTCTTCTATATAGCTTCTTTAAACTTAGCTTTAAATATATAGCCTTTAATATTCTTATAATACTTAGATAGAGATAGTATTTAATTATAGTAGTATTTTAACCTTATAGACTCTCTATTAACTTTTAGATTATTAATATAGCTTACTAAAGCTATAAATACGTAGTTATATAAGTTTATTAATAGTATTAAGTTAAATATTTAAGCTTTCTTTTATACTTTAATTACGCTAGCTATATATTTAGGTCTTAGAGAAGAGTATCTATAGCGTCTACTCTATATTATATTACTTAGGTCTTTAGAATTAAGGTTTTAACGTAGTAGAGTATTATTCTAGTACCTACCTAGTATATATTTAGAGTCTTCTATAGCTCTAAGAGGTCTTTATAGTAATTTAGCTTAAATAGTAGATAAGCTTAGCTTAGAAAGATTAGTCTCTTTAACGCGCTTCTTAAGCTCTTACTATATAGAGTAGAGTGTCTTAATAATACTAGAGTAATTAAGTAACCTCTTAGAGACTTACTATACTTTTTAGTTTATTATTATTTCTTCTAAATTTGTATTTCTAGATCTTCTTCTACTAATTCTTTAGCTAGTATATATTACTCTAGTGTTAACGTCTATTTATCTAAAGTTATATTAAATAGGTATAATTAGCTCTATAGTAGTAGATCTTTAATCTCTACTATAAGCTCTTTATAAGAGATATTATATACCTTAATATTAATTATATTAACTACTAGAGACTTTTTATATTTACTACTATTATTCTTATATAGCTTATTACGTATAAATAAGACGTCTTAAGTTTAGATAATCTTATTCTTTAAGAGTATCTAGATTCTAAAGATATTTAAGAAGTTCTATTCTAGTAAATACTTAATATAAGTACGTACTTCTAGTTTATTAGCTTTCTTAAGGTTCTTTCTATAAATATATACTTAATAGCTAATAGAGGTATAATAAGCTACTAATAGTTTATAATCTATTACTACCTTATATAGAGTTTTCTACTATTTAATTTAATTAGTATAGTATTAAGAATTTAAATAGCTATAATAAATAGCTTTAAAGCTAGCTTCTTAGATAATCTAGCTATAATTCTTATTACTTAGCTTTTAATAATTATTACGTCTCTAGCTTTCTCTATATAACTATTCTACTTAGGTATTTTAGATAAGCTAGACTTATATTTAATACCTAATTTAATATAAATCTTAGTAAGCTTATTACTAAAACTCTTTTTATTATTAGTTCTAAGTATAATAACTAAGTACTTAAATTAATACTATAGTTTAGTAATTATTCTATATATAGAAGATATTAATACTACTCTACTTTTTATAGATAATATATATTCTTTATACTAGTCTAAGAATTTATTAATTACGTAGAGTTTCTACTTATTCTTATTAAAGTAGACTTCTTCTATTAGTAGTAGTTAAACTAAATCTATTTCTATTTAGTAGAAGAGACTTTTTATAGACGTTAATCTAGATTTCTAGAAGACTTAATAATTTATTTTTAACTATATATAGGTGTTATAGTTCTTCTAGTTAACTAGAAGTATATTCTTCTTAAGCTTAAAGCTAGTAATAGCTTCTTCTAGGTACGTAATAGCTTTCTTATTTAGATATATCTATAGTTAATAGGTTTTAGCTCTAGTAGTAATTATTACTAGTTATAGATTCTTTAATAGTTAATATACTATTATAAATATAGTAAATATTTTTTATAGATTAGAGTAGCTATTTTTATCTACGTTAAGTAGCTAGTATCTCTATTTATACTCTAAGTTATAGACTATATTACTAGACTTATTCTTATATAGAACGTCTCTACTAGAGTTAAAGTAGATTCTAACGTCTTAAGAGTACGTAAGCTCTATAATATTTATAAAGAAGCTCTCTACTAATACTATATAGATAAGGCGTATTAGAGTTAGTTCTAATAGAGTATTAGTCTATAGAATTACCTCTTTCTAAGCCTTAACTCTTATAGCTTACTCTCTAGCGTATATAATAACGTTTAAGTTAGCTTCTACTATCTTTTTCTAGTTCTAATTCTCTAAGTTATAGACGTAAATATTAGAGCTAGAGTTATAAATCTATTTATTAATAAGGTATAGAGCTATTAGAACTATCTTCTAAGTTTCTAAAACCTTAGCTATCGTACTAAAGAAGTAGAATATAGAGTTAGTAAAAGAGATACTACTTATTAGCTTATTATTATTAAAGCTTATTAGAGTAGTACTTGCTTTTAGTATAGATTTATTTTACTATTTAGAGAACTAATTAGTAGCTTATTTAAGCTTCTTAGTCTACTTCTTTTTCTTCTTTTTCTTATTAAACTTAGCCTAAATTTTCGCGTTAGAGTTCTAGCCTATTAGGTAAATCTTTAGGTTAATATAAAAGTACTTACTAAACTAGTAGTAATACTTATAGAAGTACTCTAGTATTTCTTCTTAAAACTTACTATATTTCTAGCTCTAGTTCTATTATTATAATACTATACTTAGTATTATATACGTCTCTAGGTTTACTATAATAGGTTTAGTAGCTCTCTATAGCTATCTAAATTCTACTACTAGGTCTAGTACTATAGAAGCTTATACTTCTAGCTAGGTAAATAGCTATATAATTCTAAGTATAGAGTACGCCTTATTAATTAGCTAAAGAGCTTTAAGTAGCTTTCTCTAGACTTATATACTCTATACGTCTAGTATATTAAGTTTAGCTATATAGTTAGTAATCTAAATCTATTTATTAAGCTAGTTATCTAGTTTATTACCTTTCTAGATCTTCTAGACTTTTTTATATTATTCTAGTAGTATATCTTATTATAACGTATTAGTTATTATAATCTATTTCTTTAAGCTTATAAGTCTTTTATAAGCTATATTCTTATTTATAATATATAGTATAAGATAGATATTAATTATTATAGTAATATATATTAATACTTCTCTTAGATCTTTTTATATAAGAAGGTACTTCTTAAGATTCTTTTTATACCTTTCTTTCTAGTTCTAATACTCTAACTTTTTATTAGTATTAAGGTTCTCTATCTTTATAGCTTTTTACTTAATTATTAATAGTATTAGATATTTAGACTTCTTCTAAATTCTCTTATATTCTATTTCTTTTAGATCTAAATTATAGTAGTTCTAAACTCTATATTATATAGCCTTTTTCTTTATAAAAAACTTCTAGTAAGGCTAATTCTATAGTATACTAAGTATTTTAATAGCTTTTATAATATTAGTAACTATAATAGTATTCTCTATTATAGAAATTATAGTATATAAAGTAAATTTAATTATATATAGTATATTTCTAGAGTAACTCTATAATCTATTAGTAATAATAAGGTATATAAGTTAGTAACTCTATTATCTAATTATATTAAATAAACTTAGCAGGTTTAATTTATAGTAGTAGGTAAATCTAGACTTATAACTATTAGGTAAATTAGAGAGTATTAAGACATAAGTTAATTAATTAAGAATACGAGAAATATAGCTATATATATACATGACCAGGTTACGTAAAGTAGTAACCATATCCGGCAACAGATGCTCTTGATGCTGTTCTGGCTCACGATGATGCTGCCCTGCTGCCGCATCGTCTGGCTTAGGTTTAGGGTGAGCTTCGCGATTTTATTTAGCTTACTGCTGTCGTATGCTTGCCCCGGCGAGACGGTCGCGCGTCTGGCGGGAAAAGGCAGCGGTTCATCGTTCGGCTCTTCGTCCTGCCATCCGTAGTACGTTGATGCTCCATCTCCCTCGGTACCGCTCGTAGTGCTGTCGTCCGTATTTGTCGTGCCTGCTGAGCCTCGAGTCTCTTCGCAGTCAGCTTCCTCGTGCGCCCTCTGGCCGGTGCCGCGGGCGGTGTCGATGGGTCGGGCCTAGGGGCTGAGGTCGCCATCGGGGTGCCGGCACGACGTTCGGTGGGCCGCACGGACCGCCTTGCAGCGGGAGCTAGCTAAACGAACGACAGGGAATCGATTAAAAGAATGTCCGGGATGAATATCCTCCTCCTTCAACAATTTGAAGCCGACCTCTCGCGGTGCCAAGCCGAACTGATTCGCGCACCAATAGAATGCAGGTTCAAAACTGAACCTGTTCGATTTGGACTAGCTTCGGTCGATCGGTCGCCGAGCCGCCCGGACCAAAAGAGGTGGCCGGGCGCCCGACTTCCCATCTCTCGCACACTCTGCGTTCACATGTCAGTCCGTTAACTTACTTCTACGACGCGCGCATGGTTCCTCGACGTATGCCACAATCACCTTCAATCTGGTCTCACCGTGCAGTGCGAAGCGTGTGTGCGCCCAGTCCAAGCGCGACGCAGCCCACAACCAAACGGTCCGCAGCTTCCCGGAGGGTTGAATTAGTAAGTCCCCTGCCCTAATCTTTATGGCAATGGGCTTGATTGCAGGTGCATTAGCATAGGCCTCCTTCCAACGCTTAAATTCCCCAGATTCTTCCTCGGATCCCGTCGAGGACAACGGCTTGGACTTCGCCAAGGATCGCGGCTTATGATAGTTCTTAGATCCAGATTGGGTCCCAATGGCCGAGCTTTGGATCTCCGCTCTGAGACTCTCGGATATTGGCCTTGGGTATTGGTGTGGACAGTTCGCTTCAGATCGCAGCCATGCCCGTAGGTCAAAGACGGTCAGTCCCAGCTGGTGATCACACCGTGGCGATCAACGTGCGGCATTGACCAGGACCCGAGCTTAGCAAGCAGGCCAAAGGACCGTGCGTCCGTGAGGTCAGCAGAGGGGGCGCCCTTGCCGCCCCAGCCACTGCCAGAGAACTTGGTTAGGAGCTGAAGAGACTCAATCCGGGAAAAGCATTCCGGCTCGGGGTTCGGGACTGAGCCTTTCTGGTCGAGACAGTTCACCGGAGGACGGGAAGGATCGTTGAGATACAAACTCGGCCTTTGGCATCGCACGCGGTCCCATGATGCTATTGCTGTTCTTCTTCTTTGAGGTCGATGCCTTTACCCCGCCCTCATAGTCCTGGACAGTGATGAATGGGAAGATTTGCGTATCGCGGAGGTATTGGTCGATGGTCTCAAGATAGGGCGGCGGATTCCGGACTTCCCTGCAGACGAGGATTGGCATCCTCAGTGGTGCCTGGCGCATGATCTTCTCGGCATCCTCCATGGTAGCCAGTATGATGCTGTCCGCAGGGGCCTCAACTGCCTCCCTTGCCTCCCACTCTGAATAAAGACAATGTTTGGAACCTTCGCGGCCTTTAGAGAGTCGTCCAAGAATCGCGGAAGCTCCTGTCTCAGCCTTGAATGCTTTGGAAGGTCGCCGTGAGCCTTTACAAGCGCGCCAATATTGTCGATGCCTTTCTCGATTGCTTGCCTAATGTCTTCCTCAATCTGGAGCTTGCGTTCTTCCAAGATGGAGGCAGCTGGGCGCCCCTGGTGCGGGTTTACTGGAGGATCTTTTGGAGATAAGGTTGCATCGACCAAAGGATGTAGTGCGGGAGGAGGATGATTTGATGTAGGCTTGATATGGGGTGCAGGAGTGCGTTTCTTGACGTAGTGTCTCGAACATTGGGAATTCCTCGATCCATCTGGTTTAAGGGCAAAATCCATCTCCGGTTGTATTTTCTTGCACTGAGCGCAATATCGGTCTCCAGGGCCGACGCGTTCTAGAAGGCGCTTCTTCCTCTTATCGGCCCGTTTCTTCTCGCGATCCACCCTGTTGTGTTTCCTGCACTGCCGATTTTCAGAGTCGAATTCTGACTCTGGCCGATAGCCCTTGCACTTTGAACACCGGCGCATCGTTTGGTTTGCTGCGTCGGCGCCGGCTTGAGTTTGATTCGTGTCCAAGGCTTGCGCCATTATTGCCGGGGGTTGGACTAGGTCCGCAGTAGCCCGCACAGCCTCCAGCTCCTTTAGGTCGGCGTGCAGAACTGTGCTAGCGGAGACGCGGTAAGAACGGTGTTAGGCTGGCGTTGCGTGTTGGAGTGTTGCGGTTGCGTTCCAGCCAGGACGGTGAGTTGACGCCCGTGCGTCGCACTATTGCCCTTTTAGGCTACGTTAGCGAATCCATTCCATCATGAAAGGGTCCACGGTCATGAAAGGGTCCACGGTCATGAAAGGTCCACGGTCATGCTGGCGCCCAGAACGGGAAACATTTTTTTCGCAGTGCATTTCGCGGGAGGGAGAGATGCTTGAAGGCTAGCCAGGACAGGAAATCTTTTCTTTCGCAGTGCATATTGGGGCGTAGATGTCACCCGACCATGAGGAGAAGATGGAGGACGAGTTCGACCCGTCCCACTGGCAGTGGACAGCAGGGCTCTCAATCGCCTGTAAGAGTGGGACATGTCGTTGACGTCACCCTTTCTAAATTGGACACACGATGGAGGGCAGCCAAGAAGTTGCTTCATTGCTGCAGACTGAGCTGCGCCTCTAAAGCCCCCACCGTCTCCTCCGCCTGCATCCTTCGAACCCAACGAAACTCAGTTTCAAAAACACCACGGAGAAGCCGATCCCTTCCATTTTACTTCTTTCAGCTGGCAGAACCTTTGCAATCACCTTCGTGACGGCTTCAGTTAGCAAGAAGAGACGGGATAGGGGCAATGGTCTGACCGGGGAGGTCGACGATTCGTGGTTTGAAGTAGGGGCTTCCATTCAGGAATCCGAAGACTTGCGACAGGAATTGGAGACTTCAAGAGCTGTAGTCGAGGCGTTGAAGCGGATGTAAATCACGGGGGTGTTCCCCCACCAATGCATGCTAACCATGATGGCTTCCCAACTCTTGCTTGAATCTCCTCGCCGGTGGCGTAGAGGCTCCCGGCCACAGCTCTTTGCTGCTGATACGAGGCCACGGAATCCCCAGATTTCTCAATATGATGCAGCGAGTAGCTGATAAAGGCTTAGTGCTACCACCGCTTACAGAGATTACAAAGGTGGCTTACCACCAGTTGCAGACGCTAGAGCACCGCTCTCGAAGAGTGTTAAGGGATACGCAGGGGACAAGTTGAAAAGTCTTCTGCTAGACTATCACCACTCGAATGCACTGGGTTTGTAGTGCTGCCCACCCGTCGTCTTTCTCTTGGCCGCATCAGTCTGCCCGTCGCCTTTCTCTTGGCCGCATTAGTCTGCCCGTCGCCTTCCTCTTAGCGCGTCAGGCTGCGGGTCGTGTTTCGACATGCAGCCTTAGCGGCGTATATCGTTGCACGGCGCCTCTCTAACAAATGTACCCAAACCGCGACTGCATGGTCCCAATTTACCACTTATACCCCACAGTCAATGAGTAACCACCCACATACCACCACTTCCACCAACAGCACCTGCGGAGAATGTCAAGGCCTAGCTGCCCGCGGTAAGCCGAAGCTCAGTGGAGCCTTGCATGTTGATTATGCTAACTAACGGCAGCTGCCTACGCACAAAAGGACTCAAAAGATGCCAAAATTAAGAGAAGAGAACAGGGTATCACAGAACTACGGGCAGATTTGCATGTTCTTGCATGGTACTCGGCGGGGAAGAAGGGCACCTTGAACCTTCGGTGGCTGTACGAAGACAGCGAAGACACTGTAAAGATCATGAACAAATGTCCCGCGCATGGTTAAGAGAGGATAGAGTGGTAAGTCTCGCACCGAAAGGGGCGTTATGACACTAATGATATTATAGAGCTATCTTGTCTACCAACATAGTGTAACCTACAGCTCCTCCTCCTCCTCCTCCACGTTACCAGCAACCACGCCCTCCATAGCTTCAACGTTGTCAGCATCCTGAGTCTGCTTTGTACCAACTGGCCTGGGAGCGCTATCGTCTGGAAACAACCAGGGGTAGCGGTCATAGTCTTCAGCGGAAAGGGGCTGTTTGGTCTCTGGATGCAGCCGCCGCTTCTTACACTCGTCGAAATAGCTCCGCCTCTTCTTGTACTTCGCCATCAAAACATTCTCTTGCTTATCCGCGTACTTCTTGCCCACCAGCTGCCCAAATTCAGTCCTGGTCAACCATTCAACGATCGGAAGCTTCTTCGCATCGGGATTTTTCGCTGGATCGGTGTGATACGACTCTCACGTACAGATCCAGACGATACGGCTTCCCACTCTTCGTGAGTTTGGTCATCTCCACGCAAGGTCCAAGCATTTTGATCGTACAGCTCTTCTTTATTGAGGCCTTCCTGACGAACACATCAAACTTGGTATGTAGTTTCTCCTCCTCGTGGTCGTGAAGAGCTTCCGCACCGCCGGGGCCAAGATCGTACCCTTTGATAACTTTGTAAAAAGGGCGGTTATCAGCTCCGGCGTTCACGATGTGACGATCGAAGCGGACGTTCCCTGTTCGACACGGCCGGGTGGCTTCCAACTTCCCGTATTCCGTGCGACCGTCCTCAGGCATGTCCTCCACCGTGCCGTCGTCATCGTCAAACATAAGAAAGTCATCATCGTCCAAGGTCTGAGATTCCGAGGCGATGAAGAGATCCGATGACGACGAAGTTGATGGCTTATGGGAGGTCCCAGAAGCTGATGTAGTACCAGTGCCACGGTCATCGTCACCGGTAGCCTCGTTGCCGTGTTGGTCATGACTGTCGCCGCTGTTGCTATGATTGTTGACATCGATTCCCGAAAGTCCTCCGGAGCATTAGGGGTGGCTCGCACTTGTTGCTTAAGAGAGTCCCGAAGGCCGCTCTTGTCGAGATCGCTTTAGTTTCCCAATCTGCTCGTGAGATAGTTCGTTTGACGGAGAATTCTCAAAATCGAGAGTGCGCTTTCTCCTAGTGCGATTCTCCCTTCGTACCGTTCTTAGATGCGCAAGCCATGTCGATTTATTAGCGCTTATATAGTGCTGCCGCTGCGTTTGTTGGCAACCAGGAAGTCAGTCGAATAGGCCCCAACGAGAATGCCAAGCCTGAAATCCTCACCGAGCACGCACGACTGTAGAGATACGAGCACCCGGCGGAACTTATCTCGCCTTTAGCGCTCTGGCAGCGACACTTTAATCAAACCCGCATCTCTGACTGTACAAGCTCCCCTGGTTCGCGAGGCTTGGGCTGATCTTTTTTTTGCCGGATTCCGAAAGGTGCTGCGGAGTCGCGCTCGAACCTCCGCCTCCCGCCTCCCGCCTCCCGCGTCTCGATGGCACCGCCCGCGCTCCCTTCGCATCTACAGTACAAACAAGTGCCTTCTCCGCCTGTCTAGGTGCTGCTCTCACCTATCTTCCGCCTGGACGAAGTGCCTGTAGCGGATCCCGCCAGTGCAGCGACTATAACCACGAACCACGAACCCTTGTTTGCGAACCCGGGATACATGCTTGGAGAAGGACAACGGCTCGTCGGAGGGACGCTGAGCGGCCCGGGCATTCTGCAGTTAAGGCCACCGCATCGGTTGACCGATGCACGTGCCGAAGCTCGCCTTAGGCGTGTAATGGGTGAGGATAAATCAATGTTATTCGTACTAGGAGATGTGCTGAAAGCTTACGCCCTCTTTGATACAGCTTGAGCATTTTGAACCCCGTTCGCGGACGCGCGAGTACGCCGAATCGAATCGAATTGAATCGTTTCTCTCCCACACGAACGTTTACCCTCTACCTATCTGCTTCTTAACCCTCAACGGAGTGGGATGGGAGCTGCGTCTCTACCCTGACCTCGACTCTTCAGATACCGTTTGTGTTTGTGGACGCCGCCGCAGCTCGTGCGGTACGGGATGCTGCAAATACTGCTCGAGAGATAAATAGCGGAGCACGCGGGTGCGCTATTGACGAGGGCGAGGAACGAGAGCCGGGGGACAAGTATGTTGTATGCGTACGAAGCAGAACGGGCTTACGGTTAACAGCCATCTCTACGTACCAGCTGCGATGGGCGCGGTGTTGCTCGTTAAAGTAATGATTCTGCAGTATTTGCACAGACTCTCGCGACATGATAAAGCATCGGGGTCGGGAACCCCAGTTTCTTTAGATTAGGTCGAACCTCTTTCAGCGTGTAAGAGGCCCTCAGACGAACCTTATAAGCCTCCAAAAAGCCTCTTTTCCTGAACAAACTTGTACATGCGGTGATGAATTCCTTCCAGGAGAAGGATAGCGACGAAAAAGCCACCTGTTTTACCCCTGTTTCCCCCCCTCCCCCCTTCTCAATGCAGAGCCCCTTTTCTCGGCCACAATAACTCTTTGTTCTTGACATCAAGCTCCATACCAAGAATTTCGATATCGGTTTGTTTGCCCGCGGGATAGGAGGTCACTGTAAGTGCCAGGCTGGTGGGCATGCTGCACGATGCTCTGGCTGTGAGCAGGGGGTTCGCTCAGTAGTCCTGGGGGCAAGCATAGGAGAACGCGGAGCCCTCGCCAAGTTGACTAACTAGGCAGCCTAAAGTGTTCCCGAAAGCTCTGTCAGGCCGACATGCGCTGAGTAACTGCCTATTCTCGACCGCTTAACAGTCTTCACAGGCCAAGGGGCCCTGTGCGATTGGGGTTCTACATTTGCGTTAGTAGCTAATTTCGCAACGCAACATGTATAAACACGTACTGAATAATTTCCTCAATTAAGCGTAGGTTAAGTACCTCCATCAATACGACGTTAGTACCTGGGACCAGCACTTCTTCCAGCAGCTCGTGGTTCTGGATGTAGATGATGTACGTGACCTCACCGTTAACATCAGATACATTGACATCGCCAAACTCGAAACTGGACTGCGGAACGACTGGCGGCTGTCCGCTCATCATTACGAACTATATGCAGCAGTTAGCTAACGTCCGTTGAATTAATTTGCAATCACTAACAAGTGAACCCGGGATTAGCACTTGCGAGACTAAACCCATCCGGTCTTCATAGAGTTCCTCCTCGTCATCGACAGGTCCTACCGCGAGATTTGCGCTGCCGCCCGCAACAAAGTCGACGTATAGCCAGTCAGACTCGGCCAAGATCTCGGCGACAACTAGGATAGTCCACGTCGTATCCATACCAACAGAGCTTTGCTAAAGCTGTCGGGGGGATCAATGCGAAAGGGTCAGCGTAAGTCGAGGCTCGAGAGACAACCGCCCGGGGAGCGGAGCCGGAATTGGGAAATGGCGAAATTGGGAATGGTATCCTAAGAAGTAGCGGCTCTTTGCGGAAGTTGAGGGTGTGGCTGAGCGTTAAGAGGTAAATTGAAATTTGTGCGCTTACTTTACGTCTCTTACTTCACCCCAAAGCCCAGCCGCCTTCACACCGTCTAAAAGACCCTATTAACTCGACTCACAGTTATTCACAACTTCATCATACGTGTAAGATGCGGGACAGCGCGACGAATGAGTTGCAACGGCATGCTTTGGTATACAGCGACTAGCAGCACGCCTGCTGACCTGCCTGCTGTGGGTCTGGCTGTCAAGCTCCGGAGGTTATGAGACCTGCGCTCCCGTGCTCACTGTGGTTAGCATGGACGCCCTATGCTCAGCTAGCGGTTGATAAAGATGCTAAAAGCGCAGATCTACAGGGAAATGAGACGAAGGCTAGTAGGCCTGGTGGCAGGTGGCGCCCTTCCGGCCGGGAGTGCTGACGCGGACGATCCTGAAGCTGAGGTTGTTGTTTAGTCAGCAAGACAGCGCGGACCATGTGCATCGTCGGAGGGGTCCCTTAATGCGAGAGGCTGCGCTAACACCCACAGAAAATCCAATTTTGCTGGACGAGTCTACGCTTGCTTCTCATCGTCGTAAGCTTCCTTGCCTCTTTCCAAATAATCACCTACTAATCTGCTATCCCGTTAACCCAATTATCGTTCCTGACGATCTAGCGTGCCGCACGCTGAAACGGAAACGCGATGGCAGCCGTCCAGGTGGTGAGAGGTGCTATCCTCGCCGGAAGCGACAGGTGCGACGGGAGGAGGTCTCGGACGTGGTTGATTGAGAGGCGGGCACATACCGGGCGCTCTTTTACGGTGACTGTTCATATCCTTCTTTTGGGGCTAGCCTTCAGTCGTCGGTGCCAGCAGCTCCTTGGTGTGGACCCAAGTGTAGAGGATTTGCAAGAGTTTGAAGAGCGCAATGATGTACGCGGTTTCCGTGCATCCTTGGATGACCTCAACCTTTTCCACCATTGCCCGTGCTCACAGGGTCTCCAAGAGATTGTCCAGTTGTGATTTGAGCCATCTGGCCGTCTTCTTATCTCCAGCTTGCCGTGCCGCATCCGACGAGTGTTGTAAGCACGTTAGAGTTGTGGACTATCACCATTTGCATGAGCGTTTGCGGTCACGTTTGTATTGCAGCAGCGGCAAGGTGCCCCTGCCCTACGATATGACTTCGAATTTCTCCATCTGATCCTATAGCAATTTGCGCCGTTAGACTTCAGCACTCCAGAAAACGCCGTCCTGCTTCACTCTATTCCACTCTAGCTAAAACTCTGTCTTTCTTGATTGCGTTCCGTTCTGCCGTATACACCTCTAGCTGCTTCCTTTTCTTTTCCACGAAGGCATCAAGCTCGGGCTGGGGGGGAGATGCCAGATTACTGATATCAGGGAGCATCTCACAAATGGCTTTCCATGCTGGGTTGTCAGCAGCCGTGAAACAGCCATATACCAGTTCGTGAAACCAGAATCTGCCGTCGCTTAGAGACTTCCGCATGAGGTTGGAAAGCCTATGGTCCTGAGTTCTTCTGCTCTCTTCGAGTTCCAGCTCGCTGAGAAAAAGCTCTAGGCAAGCCATGTATCGCTGAAATTGTGAGCCATTAGGCACTTCCCAGAGGATTGGTTTCGTAATTAGAAGCCATCGCGGCGCTGAGCTAAACATTTGGTACGGCGCGGTGTATGCCCACTCCCAGTCTATTACTGCAATTATCTTGAGATCGCTCGCGTTGTTGACAATCATATTCCCGTAGCGGAAATCATCGCATATTAGTCTGAAGCTGGTCTGATTGTACTTGTCGTCAGCGACGAAACGTGGAAGGACGGCGTTAAATTGGTGACGGAAGTTGTATTTGGCTCGAGCGTCATCCTCGTTGTCAATTGAGTTAGGTTGCTCGTGCAGTTGCTCCATGTCTTGCTCAGCAACGTTGTAAAAGTATTCCCTCGCAGAGGAAAACGGTACCAAGCGGTGACCTTGTTACAATTAGTTTCGCCATATAAATAAGGCTAGGACTTACAATACCTCTAACTTTTACTCCCGAATGTGCCTCTATTTCTTGCATCTTTAGAGTTATTGGGCTCAGATCCGCGTGAATACTCTGGTCGTCCCGGATTGATAGAGACCCGATATTAGGAAACTCTAATGCTGAAAGTTCGAGGTAAAACTCCGCTATTTGGCGAAACACAATACGCAGGTCGCGTTCACTAATGTCGGTTCGTAGTGTTCGTTTCTCAGGCGCTTCCCGCCAAAGATTACCAAGTGACTCTCCATCACGGATGTAATCCATTATGATAAAAGGGCCCAATCCTAAATTGTTTGACAGACCCCAGGCATGAACCTTAGGCACCGGAATTTTAGTTTTTTCCCTGACCAAGCACATTACGGCGACCTCTCGACGTAACTTCTCATCGCAGTCCATAACTCTTCCAGGAACAGGAAACCGAATTAACCATTCCACATTGTCCTCAAAACGCAGACGGCAGCTCCAATTAAAGGAGCCACAGTAGTCGCTGATAATTGTGCTCGATTGGCCATCTCGGTAAGAAGAGACCCAATCGGCTATACGGAACTTTTGCTCACGAAACTTGCTGAACCATCTGAGAGCCAGCGCCTCATGTGCAAGCTCTGCCCGCTCATCCCAGTCCATGTATAGGGATGTATAGGAATAGCTGGGCCTATAGTTCTAGTGGCGCACCGTTGAAGGGAAGCGTGTGTAACGGCGGTAAAGGGCGATGAAGCGGAGCGAGACCGGAGGACAGCGAAGGCGTGGAGAGGGGCGAAGCGAGGCAGGCAGACGTAGTGGGAGGCAGACGTAGTGGGAGGCAGACGTGGTGGGAGGCAGACGTGGTGGGAGGCAGACGCAAAAGAGAAGTCAGACTGGTTAAAGGCACGCAACAAGATACGGCAAGAGGGTAAGAGAAGCAAAGCAAGCTTAGATCACGGAGAGAGGCGAGAGTAAAAGAGAACAAAGGTGAGCGTGTCAGTAGGAATGTTGGTGAAGGACGGAAAGAGAGCATATCGGTAAGGCGATTGCACCACGCTCCATCTGGTCGAAGATGCTTGGCGAGCAAACGGCGACAAAACGCGTCCATCACACCAACCTGCACACACTTCTCATTATGCTCGCCATACATCACACCCTCCCAACGCGCCCGCCATGACGAATCGCTCGTATTACGATGTATTGGGTGTTAAGCCTACGGCACACTTTCTAGATATCAAGAAGGCCTTCTACAGGCTATCGCTGTACAACCACCCTGACAAGACGCACCACTTGCACCCAGTCGAACGCAACGCCCGAACCGAGCGATTCAAGATCATCAATAACGCCTACGAAGTGCTGAACGATCAGCAGAGGCGAAAGTGGTACGACAAGCACGAGATGGGGCAGCGCGCCAGTCACGACCCCGACGCGTACACATGGCGCGACCATGGCACATACAAGGCGTACGCGGAGCCCGAGGACGATGAGGACAGGGATGATGAGTACAGGGAGCCCGAGAATACCGCCAGAGGCGACGAGGACACGCACAGGAACTCTGCAGGAGGACGCCGCTGCCACTGGACGCGTTCGAGGCCGGTGGACGAGGAGCAGCCATTTCCAAAAGGCGACGAATGGTCCCACCGACAACGACGAGCATCGAACAACTCCTCGCAGCGTGACAGGCAGCGAGGAAACAGAGACAGCTCGCCCATCATCGTCGACTCCGACGACGAGCACTCAACGCCACCGAGGCGCAGCACGAACAGCAGGCGGAGGCGGGCACGAGAGGAGAGGCGGGCCCAAGAAGAGCGGGCGGCAGCGGAAAAGCAGGCCCAAGAAGAAGAGCGGGCGGCAGCGGAAAAGCAGGCCCAAGAAGAGCGGGCAGCGGAAAAGCAGGCCCGAGAAGAGCGGGCGGCAGCGGAAAAGCAGGCCCAAGAAGAAGAGCGGGCGGCAGCGGAAAAGCAGGCCCAAGAAGAAGAGCGGGCAGCAGCGGAAAAGCAGGCCCGAGAAGAGCGGGCGGCAGCGGAAAAGCAGGCCCAAGAAGAAGAGCAGGCAACAGAGAAGCGGGCAGCAAAGCAAGTAGAAGAAGACAGCGAGGATGCACCCGACCCAACGCGGAAACGCAAGAGACGGCAGGACGATGATAAACCACTGAAGAGCAAGACCCGACGTAGGCACCCCGGGTCCCTAGGGGACTTCTCGTCCAATCAATCGCCAACGCATGCCGACTAGTACAGCTTTCCCACACCACGATACAATGCGACCGAGTACCTAGTCAAGTTAGAACCGCAGCACTTCGTGTACGAGCGGGACCTCACACACCTTCGCGCGCTCGGGCAGTTACTGGACCGGTATCAGCATCGAGAGGCTACGGTGGTGGGTGTGGTGAGACCGGAAAAAGATCGGGCGTGTAAGAAGAGCACCTTCGCCGAGTATGTGGTGGTCGCGACGCATGGCAATTAGTCTCCACAGCTCCGCGTCCGCCCTTTCGACATCAAAGGACGCCCGCTACCGTCGTGGGGAAACATGCGGTCCAGCTCCATCCAACACGGCCACGTACCCATCCTCGGGTACTGGCTCGAGCCGTTCGACAGCAAGCTTTGTTCGGAGCTGAACGAATTTCTTAGGCAACTGCAAGGGGACGAGGATGAGTAATCTCGCACAGCTCTACAACACCAACCTGATGCGGGGCGCGCCCTAAGTGCACGATCGCAGCTATCTCCTATATCGCAGCCCGGTAGATTTACAATGGCGGAGCGAGCGCTAGCGGATGCTGGCTGGGACAGGAAGGTAACACTTGATAATCTGACGCAAGCGCTGCGCAAGGCGACAGTGTGGCGGCTATAGTGACTACCTTTGCTAATAGAGGGTTTCTTGTGTATGAGGCCATAGTCGCTAGATCTGAGGCAGGCCACGCGGATGCGGCTAGACCAGCATCTCTAGTAGCGGACTGGTAAGGAACGAAAGGACGACCACCCCGAACCTGGTGAGAACCACCCCGAACCTGGTGAGAACCACCCTGAACCTGGTGACGACCACCCGGCAGTAGGGGCGCTTTAGAACGGTTGATTTGATACCTGAGGATCTGAATTTTACGACTAATAGTATCCTGTGCCGACTAGCTATCGTCTAGTGTGAGAGGGGTGAGGAGGCCTCGTGTCTCCAAACCTGTGATCAGCAGTGGAATGGGGAAAACCTACACCCAATGTCCTTAAGTTTATCGAGAAACGAATCACTACGTGTGCGAAAGGCAGTGTTTCTTAACTACTTAAAGAAAATGTAACAAGTTAACTACAAAGGAGTGAATCTAGAAGCGGAAACGAGCGTGTTTATGTGCTCCTCCTGAGTTCCGGCCAGCGACGCCGGTCAGCCAATTAGAGTAGATCTGTGGATCTGTGGATCTGTGGAATACAGATCCACGGATCCACGAATCCATCACGTGACTCCCTCGCGTAGTTACGGGTCTCGAACATTCTAATAGTCCTCCATGTCCAATCCGTCGCTATTAAGAAGAAGCCATCGCGGCCTCGCGCATGCTGCGTCCCAAATCAGTCAACGTCCTCTGGGCTCCCGGCGAGGGTCCCGAGACCGAGCTGGTTTCGGACGAGTCCAACGGTGCCAAGGATACGATGTCGTGGGTACGAGGACCGTTCGTAACATCTAGCGTATAGAAGCCCAGCCCAACGCGGGGCATACCGCTTATGCACTTCGTTCAGGCACGCCTGGTCAAAGCTGGTAGGTGATTCTACTACGCTACCCTCGCTATGGGTATATAGGATCCCTTGGACCTGCAACGTGGGGGCATGGTGCTGGACGAAAGCTCGGAAGTCGGGCAAGTGGGGTAGTCTGGTGTTGAGGTCGGCGGCGTCCTCCATATGGTGTAGTAGCTTAAGGTCGATGGGTAGGCGGAGACGCCGTAGTAGCGGGAAATGCCCGGGGATTAGTCGTAGCAGGGCTCGGTAGAGGGAAGCGAAGGTCGATGTTAAGACCGCTTCTAAGGTGGAAAACGAAAAAAGAAAGCGCAATGCGGATGCATCAGCGAGACTCCGCCGGAAACGAAACGAGGAACGCGAAACCATCGCACATCTCAAACAAATGGCTGAGCATTACCGGAACGAGAGGGACTATTTCAAGTCCGCCCTTTCCCAGCAGCCCGGCGCTGAGCAGCACTACGAGAGGCCTCCGTCACCTTGCCTCCGGCGATCATCCTCCGCAACTTCGCCATCCTCGACTAGTGTCAATTCTGCAGGGTCTCTGGTTCCAGGCAAGGCCGACGACCTTTGCTTTGACGCCGTGGGAAACCGAACTTCCGTTACCTCCACTGTGGATGAGGAGGCAACTCTCTCCCCAGTCACACCCGCTCCAGCCAAGTCAGTATCTATTGAACAACATTAGCTGTTAGTTGACCACCTTCTAGCATGGAACGGTCGCCGCTACCCTCCGCCGATAAGTGGCCGTCGCAATCTTCCAATAGACTTTACACTATGACGCGGCTCAAACGCGACGGTAACGCCGTCCTCATACACCCAGACCTGTGGGGAATCCTATTAACCGACCCGGGGCGTGAAGATGATTGGGTAATACCCAATACTGAGGGAGGAGACATCTGTCGGCTTAGCTACTTTGAAGTAGCCTCCCGTGCGAGTCTGATCCAAGCATGTGGTCGGCGGTACCAAGCTTGGGCGGCTAATACGGTCGTGGAGCAAATGCAGCTACTGGCGTGGAAGGAACTGGGCCAGAAGGACATATTGATCGACCGACGTCGCCTCTGCGAGCTGATTGTGCTGGTCTACAAGAGAGTTCAAATATGGATGATTTTAGATAATTTAGTTGCCACTGGGAAGTTTTTGTACTTTGGGCAGAGCACGTACGTTCTGATATTGAGCACTGGCATCGCCCATGTGTCTATGGCGGAATGGTTCGAAAACAAGGTTGAGATTAAAGAGGTCGAAGAATGACTTCACTCAAAGGCAAGCTTCTCCTCATCCTGAACCTCGTTCAACCTAACCTTGCTACTAGTCACCCAGAACCGGACCGCGCCAGGTCTGTATCGACGGCAGAGCGCGAACCCACAACGGCGCCAGAGCCCACGGCGGCGGAAAGGGGTGGGCTTAGAAGGATAGCACCGCTCTTTGCAGCTCCAACGCCCTTGATCACTATGTACAAGATATAGAGATGACGCCACCGGCGAGGAGATTCAAGTAAGGGTTGGGAAGTCATCATGGTTAGCATGCCATTGGTGGGGGATGCACGATTCTTTCCTTTGTTTACCAAGCTTCACCCGATACTTGTTTAATTTATCCTTTTGCTGTGAACGAGCGTATAGGGCAGTGACAGGCTATCTGCAACCAAGGCCTCGCACTTTAGCCTTTTGCCACGCCTCAGAATTCTTCCTGCCCTCCCTCTCAATGGACCTTGCAAATGGATCCGAAAATCAAATGGAAAGGGTCAAATGGAAAGGGTCAAATGGAAAGGGTCATGAGCTACCGCTGATTCGGTACTATAAATCGACCCCAATTTATTCGCGAATGGATGATGGGAGACAATACTTCTGGCAGGATGCATTTCGGAAATCAGCCTGAGAGTGTTTTGGACTGGAACGATATTTTGACTCTCTTATGCGATCGTTAACGCTTCGTAGTCTCATAGTTCTGAGTTTTCCGAATGTTTCCTGTTCTCTTGAGCCTCTAGAGCCTTGGTTCTTGACAGCGTGCCGATTAAGGCGCCAAAGCGGACGACGAACAAGTGATATCTCGCCGCCGGAAGGACATGCATAATCCAGAGCCGAGCAGGTTGGCGGAAGCAAGCATCAGCTTAGGTTCGGAGATAGGATGCGGTAGAATCTATGGACAATGGGCATGGCGGGCGCGACCACCAACGTCGCATTGCGCTTTCCATCCTTAGGACCCCAATCAGACAGCTCCTCTAGCACCTTCCAAGCCTTCGCGCTCCAACGATACCCATAGGAGGAAGCTGCAGCCGGAATGAACCCGTGTCGACGTGACGATTCGATCCGAGTGCGATCGAGATGCTCGTCGTCCAGCGTCTGGGCAGTTCAATCCGGTATTGGATGGATAAAACGGATAGAGTTATGAAAACCCTGCACACCAGGGGAGAATTTTTGGGTACGGCAACTACCGTACATAATTCCCCTTCTCAGCGCTTTAGTGCTCACTCCTTCTCCCATTATGTGCGACTACACGCAAGTTCAGTACAAGTGTTCGCACTTACGATACACAGTACGGGCTTGGTGCACCAAATATCAGGAGACGCAGAAACGGTGCCAGCCAAATGTAGTTGCTGTGTAAGAAGAGCCAACATTCAATTGAACTCGATACTAATCCGTTATATAGAGAATACAGACTCGACGATTGCGGTTCGTCCAACCCATTGCCCTACCTTCCTCGCGCTAACTGGGCCTTCTTAAAGGCGATTGCAAAGGTTCCGCCAGCGGAAGGGTCTGAAATGGAAAGGATCAGGAGTCGGTAGCAATTACGAGAAGAGAACGAACGCTTTACTCCAGGGAAATGTCATGGGGATACCCAACCTTTGCCATGGGGGATAACACACGAGTCTGTTATCCCGCTAGCGAAAGACATCGCGAAAGTAACTGCGTAACCCAGAGCAAGCCGCTTGCCTTTCTTTAATAAGCGTGTCTGTAGTAATGACAGAATATAAGTTAATCTCCTACGGGCTCTTCTCCAAGTGCCTCGTCGTCCCATTGCTATTGTTCGACCAACTGCCTCACTCGATAGCTCGTAGCCCAGCCAATTTCGACCTCGATGTCGCGGAGAAGGCTGCATACTACTTGGCGCTCTCTAGGATCGCTTAGGCATTGGCCAGCAGTAAACAGTGGCTGAACAGATTGGATGCGGACAGCCTCGTCTGGTCGAGCTAGAGATATGCCAATAATCTCGCGGGCGGACGCCTGACATGCAGCCAGCACGAATTGATAAGTGTATTGAGCGACTACAGTAGTATAGCACGGTATGGACTCGTGTGGCTTGTTCATCAGCAGCTAAATCTTGCTCATGTAGTAGTATTGCATAGTTAACGCGCACATAGGAATGCTGTACCAAATCTTAGGAAAGCCGATATCGTTCCCAGGGATGCGAGTAGAGTCGATTCTGGCGCACGGCTGGAAAATTTTCGGCAACCCGTCGTACCATCTACATCGACGCGGGAGGGTCCAAAATCCACAGGGTCCTCACCGGCGGCCATGAAGTTGACGAGCTTCGACATGAGCCACACAAGTGCATTGCAGATAAGGTCCTCTTTTATAATAATGTCGCCCTCTAGATAGCCGGTTTTAGTTGTGTTGCTAGGGACAATGTATCCATGCTCGTCGATAAGAAGGCTAGCTTCCTTCTATAGAGAGAGCTCTTCGATGTTAAGACGGGTTCGACTCTTAGTGATGACTACATTGTGAAAGTTAGTTAAGGCTATCGAAGTAGGCAGAGCGCACTCACACGCTGCCAGCATATCCTGCCGGGCTATGTTCCAGAATATCGCGCGACGTGCTCTAGAGATAAACCCAAGATTAGCGGAGTTGATTGTTGGAGGGGGTGTTTGTATCTGTACAAGAAGAGACTCCGCGCCGTTCAAATGCTTAAACCACTCTGCCATAGAGACGTCCAGAAACTCGTATATGCAGAGGATCGCTAAAGCCGCGAGCAGCTTATCTATGTCAGTCCGCTAGTTCACATTGCTTGAGGCACGGCGCTGTTTGCGAAGGGGACTAGTATCCCCGTGTAATAGACCGCTTTTAGAATCTGGTTCTGGCATAATGGTCGAATCAGCCTTCAAAGCCTGGAGCAGGAGCGACACGGCAGCATCGTAGTATTACGTGGCTTTGTGGTACCAGTCCACTACGTGAGAGCCTGGGTAGGGCTCCATCCGAGCCTGGCGCGTCGTGACGGGCTTCCGCCCTTGCACACGTGTTAGGGCTTTGGCAGAGTAGGCGACCGCGGCGTACTTTAAGAGGGGATTGTCTCGCGCTTTAACTGGTACGTAGGAAGAAAAGTACCTATTTAGATCAAAGAGATCTATCCAGTGGCCAGTGCGTTCAGAAAACCACCGTAGGAGATATGCAATCTCGTGATCCCGTTCGACCGCGGTCTCCGTGCCAGTATGGGATGGCGACCGTTGGCTGGCAGCGATTGAGCTCAGGTGGGGTATCTGGCCGGGATCAGATGGCGACGGAATCCGGGGGTCGATGGGAGGCGGTGTCATTGACGATGTCGGCTGTGAGATCATCGGTGGTCGTTCATAGCAAGGAGCCGGATCTGTTTCTGGAGTGAAGCGTAAGGACGCGCCGTTGGTCGCATAGGTATGGACCTCGGGCCCGGTGCTGGAGGGCGTGCTGGCGTTGTCAAGTGTGTTGGAGCGTGGCGACCGCGACGTAACAGGCAATGTCCTTAGCTCTGGGCTGGGGGGATCTAGATACGGATTGGTCGTGTTGATGAATGACACTGGAGGATTATTAGAGCTTGGGAATCGCTATAGAGGAAGGGCGCAAACCATTCTTGGGAATATCGAGCCAGACAGTGTTATTACCGAAGGTGTCCTTGTATGCGTAGAAGCTCTTAGGAGCATCTGTGGAGCTGTCCCCGTTCATTGAGGCGTTTTGCTCGTGGCAAAGGATGAGGCCCGAACTTGGGACGCATTCGCAGGAAGATTTGCAGCATTAGCCGCACGAGGGCTTGTTTTCGTCGCACTTGAGCTTCCGCCTGCGACAAGTCAAGCTGGCAAGGCATGTCAGGAGATGGTAGAGCAGTAGAGCAGCTGGAGAGGTCTACTTGCCATCCTGTTCGTGAGCGCACTGTTCGTGGGCGCATTTCTGCAACCAGCTTGTTGGTCCTTGGGCTCTTCTCACACTTTTTATCGGCGGTCGCCTTCCGCTTCTTCTGGGCCTTCCGCTTCTTCTGGGCCTCCGGCTTGTAATCGTGGACCCGTTTCATATAATCGATGGGATTGTAGCGGCGGGGGAAGCCGTAATCACCTCGCTCACAGTCGGGAAAACGGCACAGGTGGGGTCGATTGCCGTGGCCGTGCATACCATGGGCCTCTCGTTCATGGCGAAGGAGGCAGGCACTCGAAGAGAATGGGGGACTTTTGCACTCCTTGCAGGAGAACGGCTTCAAATGGGAATCCACGTACTTGCTACAAGTCTGTTAGCAAAGCTCTAGACTAGTCAGCCCACTTACTTATAGTTACACTTCAGCCGCGTTGGCTTGTGGCTACACGCTTCCGTCCTATTATACGGGCAATGGTACTCCCCATTCTCGTCTGCTTGAGCCAAGTACAGTGGATGGCTCTGGGCTACCTCGCCCTGCTCTTCATCCACACGATTAGCCTTGGCGGCGTCATTGGGAGACAGAATGTCGTCCTCGTCCAGGTTGGACTAAGTTGCCAGAGTGGACGCAGTCTCGTCGTGCGCATTCCTGCGACAATAATTAGACTACTTTCGACGGGCTTTTATTAGGGGGAGGTTAGCTCTTACATCGGCTTAAATGGCTGTGACTGGGCGATGTCCGTCTGCGCCATGTTGGTGCCGGCGACGCTAATTGGCGACATAATCAGCGAAGCATAGCTAGCATCGTTCGGGTCTTGGGTCGAGCACAACGTGGTATCAATGCCCTGCATCGTGCTAGGGTACGAAGTATACGCGAATGAACCAGCGTAATTCTAAACGGCATTGTTCTACGAAAAGGGCTCTAAGGCGTTAACGAACGCATAGGGTGCGCAGTCCTGGTCTGAAAGGAAATTGGTATAAGCAAAGGGACTCTCTCCAGCGTTAATTTCTGCGGCGGCAGATGGCAGATGCGCCTGGCTCATGTTCTGGGTATCCGGAAAAGTGGCCATATGCTGACCTAACGGGCTCCTGGAGTCAAGAATAGGCCAATATCCTCGTGGTAACGTGATATTAGGCTAGCTGGCGTGCAAGAGAGATGCAGACAAGTCAACAGGCGGTGGTGTCCCTACTGAGGACGTTGGCGGTGAGGCCGGAGTGAAGGGGTCATTGGCCGCAAGGGAATTAATCTCGGGTCCGGTGCTGGAGGACGCGCTGGTAAAGCTGGCAAGGAGTGTTAGAGGGTGGGAGAGCAGCAGGAGAGGTCTACTTGCCATCTGGTTCGCGAGCGTATTCCGACAACAGCTATCTAAGCTTAAATCTGCTTACGACAAGTGCCTCATGCTTGAGAGTAGTCGCGATGCTTTGCAGCTTCTATACTAGGTGTTTCCAGGCTTATATCAACGCTATTAAACGGCGCTCAGGAGGGGGCTTAGCATTATACTGTTTTATCAGGTTCGCGCCAACGCTGCGGCATGCAACTCGTGGCATAACGCTATAAGAAGCAGTCGTCGCAACACGAGGGTGTAGTCTATATTGTGCTCCGCGACAGTACAGATAGTTTAGCTAGAATTAATTTAAGAGTGTTTTAGAAAGGTAGATTTCGCTACTTACCTGGGATACAAAACTATAGTCTAGCTAGAGAAATAATATTCTATTAAAACTCTTAAACTATTTATACAAGCTTATATAATACTTTATAATAGAAAGTCTATTAATAAGCTTATTAATATATATAAAGAGCTTATATTTATAATCTTTATTAGTAATAGATTAAATATTATAATAGAGTAATTTACTCTTATAAATCTCTTTATTAACTTTAATATATATTCTACTTTTTAAGAATTATATAAGTTAGAGTTACTAACGTACTTTATAAGCGAACCGACTATATAAGCAAGCCGACTACCTTTTTCTTAGCAAGAAAATTAACGAAAATTAACACGTTTTTCTTAAATAACTAAGCGAAACCTTAATATTTTTCTATAAAAATTTATATATATATTTCTTAGAGTATATTACACCTTATACTATAGTTATACTAAGAGATACTACCTAATTAAAAAGCTATACGTATTTAGATAACTTTTAAGAAAAATCTAGTTTACTTCTAGTTAGTACTATTATAGCTCTATAATAATCTATAAAACTTATAGTATATAGTATCTATAACCTAGTAAAGGTTTCTAGAAAATTTCTATAGAGCTAGCTATTCTAGATATAGCGTAATAAGAGATAGAAGTTAGAAAAATATCTTCTTTAGAGTTTTCTCTTCTAACTATATATATATATATAGTTAATCTAGCT